GATGGCGTGCCAAATTTAGACCGAATAGGCACACAGTCCCGGGTGGCAAGCTCTTGTATAGTACACGGCCCCTATTGTGTCTTTTTGTTCCTTTTCCCCTCAGGGTGCCTTCTCGAAAAGCTCCAAAATTGGTTTGGCGGCCTGGTGTGAAGTGTTGGCAATATTCCAAAGACGATCTAGTGTAACGAGAATAGCAACATCACTTACATCAATAAACTTTTCAAGGTCTTGGTCCAAGTTGGCCAAGTCGTCCTTCCGCCTCTTATTCTCTGCAATGAGTTTTTGCTTTCGTTTCAGCAACTCTTGACGTTGCTGTTCTAGAGCCTCACGTTCTGTGCGCTCATGGTCAATTCTCGCTACCATGAGCTCATCCTCGTCATCAGCGGCATGTTCGGGGTGTTGGGCCAGGAATTCATCGACGGGAATAAGGGGAAGTTGCTGGTATTTGTGGCTAAGCAGGAAAATTAGCTGGGGCCTCGGAATGTTATGCAGACCAAGGTCACGTAACAAGACACTACATACTCGTATGACTCGCAAGCCGATATCTCGCCTTGGAGATGTCGCTGCTCATAGTAAAGGTTCTGCAGCTGAAGATGCAGACGGTCGACCTCTTGACGAGCTTCAGCAGTCTGGGCTTTGGTTTCGCGGGCGGAGATGCAAGCGTTCCGATGTAGACCGCGAAGGTGCGATATGCTAGTAAACAAATGCTTCTGCTGCTTGGCAATCTCCGCTTGTGACTCGGCTGACATATGAGAGTCACTAGCCTCGTCTACCAGGCGGAGAAGTGTGTGAGCCTGGTCGCGTGCTTGGTCGGATATTTGCAACACGGCCACCAGTCTTGGCTCGGAAACAATCGTGTCGACAGCCATCCTGACGCTGTGGCAAAGTTTGCTTAGGCAAGAGAATGGAGAGGTATCTGTTCCCTATTAACCCAGGTATGAATGATGTTCACCAAAGTCGAAGTGGCGTCGATTATTGATGGCGGTCGTGGAGAAAGCAAAGACCTCAAAGGACGGAGTGGTGTTGTGTTTCAGTGTCCAAAACACCGGTGTCCCGGGTAGGCACATGTAGGCGGTAAAGCTCCGTGGTGGGGCACACCCAAGAAGGTGCCAATTATTAGCTGGGAGACTTCACAATGCATTCATTGTTCAATCCTAGTGCTTTCGCGAGTTGCAGTGTTCACAGTTTTGAATGTATGCTATTGTGCGGAGTAAAACAGTGCAAGTTCCTTCTGGATGCGGAACACATACTTGACACTGACGGGCGATGGAGAAGTTCATCGAACTGCTACCCCAGGGTACCATGATGACAACAGCCTCAAGAACGCATTCGACAATGCCAGCTTTATGCTGTCCGAAACAGAGCAGCCATCAGTCTTTGGGCTATTCCAAGAAGCTTGTTGAATGCTATCTCTTTTGGTATACGGAGGAGTCAGGTATTGATATTCCCTTCGCGTTTGGTCGCTGTCATGCGGACCGCCTTTTTGGCACATGGCTGGCTGAGTGCTGACAGAAAGCAGTCAATCGCGCATTGCGAGGCAAGGGTGTGTCAGACGCTTACTCTGCCAAGGAAGGGACTGACAGACTCAAATGAGCCTTTGGTTTACGGATTAAATTCCCCGTATGTCGCGAGATGCAATTCGGAAGATGCCATTTATTAATAACCGGCACGGAGGGTAGAACCATGGGTGGTATGGGAACTTCGAGAGAGAAAGAGAGTTTCAAAGCAGTCGACGGTTCATTGTTTCTAGACGGCCATGGCCGCGACCTCGAAGGGCGCGCTTGCTCGCCAACCCGCTAACGAGATGACAAGAGACAGCATTGACGTAAACTTGAGCTGTCCAACCAAAGCTTAACACCCAGCCAGACTCGGCCGGCGTCGAATGTGGGAGCAAAAAGACGCCGTCAGCGTCATTTTCATTTCCGACTAGGTGGATACCTTAGACTGTACATACGGAGTACTCCGTAATAAGTCTGGTCTCGACATGGTGCCGCCTCGTGTTGACATGTCGCAGTTCAGCAAGCAGCGACGACTCTGACAGCAAAAGAAGCACGGCAAAGGCTCCGTCACCAATTCGGCATGAGGGATTTGAGGGCTTCGGGCAGTGCTCTCTACGCGCTTCCGTTCAATACCCTCGCGCCATGATGCGCCGTGACTTGGTAGCGGCGCATTGTAGACATGCATTAGCGGGAATCCTTGGGCACCTCTAGGGAACCTATTGGGCCCTCGTCGTTCAATGTCTGGTTGGCTTGAGTCTTGAGAAGCCTCAGCCTATTAAGTCTTATAATTTCCGCTTGACCCAAGATCTAGGCCCCTCTTCTCCGCCTCGTGCTTGACGCTTCTTGCACACTTGGTTGGGGCCAAGGGACCGGGCGACCCTCAACAGCGCCTTCGCTCCTCCGAAAGGCCCCGCTTCTCCTGCTGAGTCCGCTGTGGCCGTTGTGCCCCAGCCAATTGTCCTCGGCCGCTGTCACTCGTGGTGTCTGGTCCTCTGCTGGCCTCCCTCCAACTCTCCCTCTCACTCTCTCTTTGACACTCCCGCAAAAATCATCTTGTGCCCAGCCCGAGGCAACATTTACCCGGCCTATACGGACGACTCCGTGCCCAAGTACACATATAACCCGCCATTCCGCCCATCCGGCCATGGGATTTTTGAATTCGAATTCTTCATCATGAGCGACGTGACCACTGCCATCACGTCGGCCTGTGGCTATAAGCCGCGCGATGATGAACAATTGGGGACATGCGCCGTTAGAGCCTCTGGATCCGAGATGCAGAATACCGACAACCCCGCGAACCAGCGACGACGCCACTCCTTTTTCCTACCGCGAAGAAAGTCAATAGTAGAAACCATCATGGAAGGCGAGGAGGGCCTGCTGCTCAAGGTGGACTTGTTTCTTTCCGAGCTGGAGCGCCGCTTGGACTTTATTGAAAGCTACTATGGCGACCTCGGCAGGGACTACAGTTTCTCTCGCGCATTTGCGACTTTGCAGGCCGTCAGGACAAGATGTTCCCAGGCTTCCGAAGAGGTCATCGGTGCCGGCAGGCGGCGCCTGCAAATCATGGTGGAGACGCTGGAGATGCGCTACCAGGAGACTTTGACTGCTGCCGAGTCGATGCACGAGAAGGCTCGTGTCGGCGTTGATCTCCTTGAGGAGATGCTTTCCGAGTTTGAAGCACGGGCGTACAAGCTGCGGGAGCAAGGTCTGGCCGGTGCCACGACCGCTGCGGAAGCCTTCATGGATGAAGGCCGTCGTGTTGCTCACGAAAGCATCGAAAGAGCAAGGGGTGTTATGGATGAAGGTCTCGAAAGGGCAAGACGAGCCGCGCTGTCCCTGGAGGAACACATTCAACAAGCCATTGCAAAGGCGAGAGAAACACGCCTGCTTCACTACAACGACCTGCCCATACCCTGGCGCAACAATCCTCACATCACCAAGGGCTATCGCTTCACCGAAACCAAGATTGAATGTGTCCAGTCAGCCTTCAACATATCCAACGAATTCATCAACATCTGGTCTCACGCCATCGGCCTTGTCCTTGTTCTCGCCGTAGCACTCTACTTTTACCCAGCCAGCGCCAACTTCTCCCTGAGCTCAAAGAGCGACGTCTTCGTTGCCGCTGTCTTCTTCGTCATGGCCTGCCTCACCCTGGTCTGCTCCACCATTTGGCATACCATGAACGCCGTTGCCGACGTCGACGCAATCTCCATCTTTGCCTGTGTCGACTACACCGGAATCTCACTCCTGATCGCGGCATCCATCATGACCACCGAGTACACCGCGTTTTATTGTGACCCCTTGAGCAGATGGGTATACATGTCTCTGACAGCCGTCTTGGGCATCGGGGGCGTCATTCTCCCATGGCACCCAAAATTTAACGGCACGGATATGGCCTGGGCCAGAGTGGCTTTCTTCATTGGACTCGCCTTGACGGGATTCATGCCGATGCTGCAGTTGTCGCTGACCCACGGCCCCGACTTCGTCGTCACTTTTTACTCGCCAATCTTGAAGTCGATCTTGGTCTACTTTGTCGGCGCTATTGTCTACGCGAGCAAGATTCCTGAGCGCTGGTGGCCAGGCATGTTCGATTATGTTGGGGGCAGCCACAATTTGTGGCACGCTGCTGTCCTGGGGGGCATCCTGTTCCACTACACGGCCATGCAGACCTTTTTCTCGAATGCTTTCCACCGTGCGGAAGGCGGCTGTCCTGCATACTGAGATATTTTTAACGAACAGGGGCTTGATTAGGTTTTCAGGGACCAGGGAACCAGCAATCACAAACGACATGAGAGACGGAAGACAACTGGATGAGGCAAGCACGTTATCGCACGACGTAGTGAGGTATGAGGTGGGAATTAGAAGGACTTAGACTTAGACTTTTTCACTTCTTCAGACGGGGCCATTACCATGTCTTGGCTGCACTTTCGCCAGCGATTCTTGAACATGGAGCATTTACATTGGGCGTTTCGGGCATTTACGGAGCATTTGTGTAAAACTAGAAGGGTATATAACTAGTAAAAGTAAGGACTAGAGTACATGCAAGCGTTGTTTTCTACCAAGTCCAGACTTCACCATATCATGAGAAAGACAGGAACAATTGGACGTGCTCCATTGCAGTGGTTCATTAATATACACGCTCGCTACCCATCTTATTGTACAAGTACCGACATAGTTCTGTCATCCTTCTTCTACCTCAGTAATCCCAATATTTCCAAACAATTCAGCCAAAAGAACCTAAATAAGCACATATTCCATGGATTCCCACCCCGCTTTCTTAACCCATTCATTCATATCCCCGTCCATATTGCCCCATCATCAATCATCAATCATAGCTAGGGTTAACCTAGCTAATAACCAGACAACTGCATCCTCGATGCGCTGGAAGTTGTCGACAAGAAAAAGGAAAAAGCTACAGTGATATTATTATCGGTAGAAGTCGTACGGCTCGGCAGCAGAGTCAATACGAATCTGGACATGTATTGGTACAAGTCGTGCCGTTCACATTGCGTGCGAGGCAATTTCTGAGTATACATCATCGGGGATCTTCTTGATGATCCCAATGGTGACGCTCTTGATCAAGTCGGAGTTCAAGGCTGGAAATGACCTGAGGACTTTGTTTGGACTGATCACACGTTAGTATATACGATGGGACGACTAGTTTAATACAAAGCAACTCACCTGGGAGACTGGAGAATCTGCGACCTCATTATGGTCAGTTGTGCCACGATACATAGGATGTTCAAGTGCGGGCCGTATGCAAATAAAAAGTCCCAAAGCCGCAATACTTCTGGCAGTGGTGGCGTACAAGCACAGAGTGTCAAGACGGAAGGAAACGCATAAATCTCAGCCGAGAGTCCCTTCGCGGTAAGGTACATGCTGAGCTTCGGGTCTACAATGGCAAGCACTTTATCGACGAGCGCCAGGCCGCGATGCACACCGTCCATGGCTCCACGGATATACGCAGGACACTCCTTGGTCAGGAGCGAGTGGAACGCAACAAAGGCTTCGGCCTCACTGCGGGCTGCGTATAAAAACGGAGCGGCCAGGACATTCATGCCTTGTACGTAGGTGCCGGGTTCCGGGCCGGTGCCAGACTCTGCTCAGGATTAGTAGGTGAACAGCACATCGAGTAGCAGGTTGAGCCCACAGAACTCAACTAGTAAACAGTTTTACATACTGGCCTGGGAATGTCCGGAAATGCTTCCTCCAAGACTCTGTCTGAGATGTGTCGAATGGCTGCTACTCGGTCGACTGCTCTGCCGCTCCTCCTCCTTCGCATCATGTAACCGCCATGCGATGGCATTTAGGAGCCGAATCAAGCTTGCCTCGCTCACCCTTCGTCGGAACAGAGGGTCGGTGGTGAGGGTTCTGAAGGTGTCGTTGCGAATTTTTGAATATGCCGGCGAAGCACCGCGATGTATCAAGCCAAGGTATTCATCCGTGGGCATGATGGGAGCTTCCAAAAGAACTAGCCAAACGTATATCCTCAGCGGCGACTACAAGTACATTAGTTAACAATTTGTCATTGATAAGGTGACAAGCATCATGACAAAGCCAAGGAAACCGAGGGGCACCTTACCATTCCATCCTCTGCGCTTTTGATACCCTCATCAACAACCTTCCACCGGGCACTTTCCAGAGCACCCAAGAAGTCACCATCGCTCGGCCCATCGCGGAATATTTGCTGGAGTGACAGGTGCCCGTGTGAAAAAACGGGCTTCTTCATGCCGGAGCGTTTCAACCCGGCCACAGCACCCATATGGTGCATCAATGGCGAAGTAGCATCACTGTTGGCGCGAGCCCGCTGAGGTGAGCGAGTAGCTCTTGAGTCCCGGGTCGGTGAGGCATTCCGCTGCAAGTCCCGACGCTGTTGTGAAATAAGAGACGGCTGGTTGGAAGACCTTGCAGCCCCGAGAGTGTGAGCAGATTGTAGCCGTCGCAGAGCTCGATGCGTTCGTGGAGATGGAGGGACTTGGAGGTCGATGTGTCCCGGGGCGGGGAGCGAGGTAGGTGGAGGGTTCGCCTCTCGTGAGGGACTAGGCATGGCTGTAGATGGATCAACGGTACACCGTGGCACGACGATACATGGCAATTCGACGACGACGACGGCCAACTCGAGAAGTTGTCAGCAGAGATGCCAGACGCGAGACGCGATGGTGCATGGACCGGTGGAGGCGTGGTGGGCTAGGCACAACCAGACTTACATACTAGGGTTACATAGTACTAGGAAGAAGGCGGGGAAGACTGGGATCGCGTCGCAATGTCACACAAGTCCGGTTTCAATACTGCGAGTTGCTCCTTCCCCGAATGGCAGTGTCTATTCTCCTCCAGAGGCTTGTGTCGATTTTGGCAAAACACCTCGGATTCGACTTTCACATTTCACCTGGCATCTTTTGACCTTGTAATCGGTATGAGCACTGTCCTCTTCCAGACCCTGGCTCGGAAGCCTCCCTGCATGCCTTGTTGTCTTGCGAAGAAACATCGTGACCGATGGAGGGCCGACTGACTCGATCAGACCAATTGGCGCCACTTGCAATGCACGATGATGCTGTGGCCAAGGGCACCGTTTGAGCTTAACGCGTGATGGGTAACCAAAGGCTGGGAAGCTGCGTGCGCAGAAATGCCCTTGTGAACAAACCAGATGAGCTAGGCCCAGCGCAAGCCCTGCCTCATTGTATTGACACTACCTGTTGTTGGCTCAGGCGTTTTCTCACCCAGACTCTGCATCAATTGCCCGAGAAGCAAGAACCCTTTCGTTTTGGGGCGACGGATTTGTCAAGGAGTGATATTGACACCGAGGCCGGAAGTTGCACCAAACGCAAAGTGCCGACACTGACTGTCGTGCACTTTGCGGCCTTGGCAACCAACTTGAGCTCAACACCACATGCCGCGCCCCCCAATACTGCATGTCTTTGTGACGACAGCTTATTTGTGGCAGTGGAATATATGCCGCCTGCGCTTTTTGCGGATCTAGGAGACAAAGAAAGGAGCCACATTTATCACTTGCAAAAAAACGAAAGTACCCTCCGCAACTTCAAGACAGTGGTTGTATGATGCGACATCGTGAATGCAGAGGTCACTTTGACACCACATTCTAGACCGCTGTTGGACCAGAGAACTGTCTGACTGAACGGGGATATCAGATCAAGGGCACTCCATGATACGGAATGCACAATGGACCAAAGTAACATGGAATAGTCTCGTCCTTGGAAATTTACAGTTGTGGTCAGTGATGGTTGTCTTCATGATTTGGGATTGGCGGGCAAGGTTATTTCTATTTGTGGAAGGTTTCAGCTGGTTGTTTGGATTGTTTCCAAAAGGACTTTGACCAGCGACAGCTCGAATGACACGCCGACATGGAGCTCGCCTAGTCACTGGCGATGTATTATAGCGGGAGGCAAAGAGTCTTTGATGAAGCAACTTAAATGGCCACGACGAACTATGGCCGCCGGGTCGCGACGAGTTATAGACATACGCCGTCTGAGAAAGTTAAGGAAGCACACACTCGGGCATTTTGAGATGGGGTTGAGTGATGGTTGCAGGTCCTGCACAGCTAAGTATGCCCCGTACATGCCATGTTATTTATATGAGTACAATTTGAATATTGGACATACACGGGATATTGAAGATTTGTGTTGTACATAGACGTGCCGCTGACAAAGTCGGAGTACCTCTCCAGTGCCGTTTGAGGGAGCTCGATGCGGCTCTCCCCCCAACAGGCTTATGATTACATGTCATGTCTGGTTCATGTCTGGTACTACCGCGCAATGGCTAGTACTAGTAGCTCGATTCGAAGCGTGAAGCAGCCATCTCCGCTGCACTATGCTGTTCACGGCCATGAAGCGATTGCGACATCTCCAAGTTGTGGGGCGAGTCGAGCACCTCATCGCGCAAGCGCATTTAGATGTCGACCGTCTCAACAGTCCGAGGTCGAAGAAGCCATATACGCACGCCGCCAAAATTCTGAGGAAAGAGATTTTTCTGCTAATGAATCCATTCACTACACCTCCGGCAGATGTATTCCCACCCTCAGCGTTGACGGCCAAGTGACGAAAGCCCTACACCCCACCATCTCAGATGACGTATTTGGCACTTGGCTGCGTTTTTATTTACTGTTGTTGTCTTGAACCGAGCGATTTGGAATTCGTCTAACTCGTCACCTCACCACAATGTTCGCAGACGAGGCATGATACAATACAAGCCCCACCCTGGAGAGGTCAGGCTGGTCGCGCGGCACCCCCGGCTTGTCGGCCTACCAAGTGGTAATGGTTCTATAATTACATGTACGACTTCCGTGACAAGACCGGGAGATCGGCATGTTCACGCACGGATTTAAGCAGCATCGTCCTGGGTGAAGGTGCTTACGATTTCTTATACTCGCCGCCTCTCCTCCAGTCCACAGGCTACGACATTTCTCCACGTTTCTTCCTCTTTTTGTTACATCAGTTGCCTTGGAAGGCCTCTCCTCTTCCTTACTTGCCCTTGGCTCTCGAGCTCCATCTGGCCTGTTTATCGAACCCGAGACCTACCTATCCTCTCCCGGTCCTTTGGATACAGTCCTTGATACCTGCAACATACGTCATCGCAACACCATGATTTCGTAACGAGAGGCCCTAATACGCCATACATCTTCTCCATTCAACCCTGCAGTGGTATCAATCTTGACTGGGACTCGACCGCTACCCAACCATGTCCTCTTTCGCAACCAAAACAGGCCATGCCTTGGCCAAGATTCTTGGCATCACACTCGAGGATCCCAACCAAGACGCCACAGAAAATGCCACCCGAGGAGAGTCAATTCTCCCCATTCAAACCAGTGACAGCTTTGTCGAGGGGCCCCCAACTACATCTGAATGGCTTCACGATCAAGTACCGACACGGCAAGAAGTCGGTGAATATGCCAAGTCCTTGTTTCCCTGCCTGTCCTGGATAGGGCACTACAACCTCCAATGGTTCGCTGGCGACGTCGTCGCCGGAATTACTATTGGTGCCGTTGTCGTGCCTCAGGGTATGGCTTATGCCCTGTTGGCCAACCTTGAGCCTCAGTTCGGCCTCTATTCCTCCTTTATGGGTGTCATAACCTATTGGATATTCGGAACATCAAAAGATATATCTATTGGCCCTGTGGCTGTCTTATCTACAGTTGTGGGAAGCGTTGTTGAAGATGTTGCCTCATCCCCAGATACCAAAGACATACCGCCGCATGTCATTGCCTCGGCTCTGTCCATCATTGCTGGGTGTATTGTTTTGGGAATCGGCCTTTTGAGATGCGGGTGGATCGTGGATTTAATTTCCATCACCTCCCTGTCTGCTTTCATGACTGGATCTGCCATCACAATTGCATCTAGTCAGCTGCCAGCACTGATGGGTTTGACTGGCTTCTCGAATAGAGATCCTGCGTATATGGTCATCATCAACACCTTGAAACACCTACCCGAGACGAAACTTGACGCGGCCATGGGACTGACGGCACTATTCTTTCTCTACCTCATTCGATTCACTCTCACGTCGGCTGCGGAGCGTTTTCCAACCCACAAAAGAGTCATCTTTTTTATGAATACTATGCGAACCGTCTTTGTCATCCTTCTGTACACCATGATCAGCTGGCTGGTCAACATGCATCGTAGGGAACACCCACTATTCCACGTTCTTGGAACTGTTCCAAAGGGTAGGACGAGACAAAACCTCACCACCAGACATTAGAACCGCTCTTGGCTAACCAAATAGCAGGTTTCCGCAATGCCGCTGTCCCAGAACTGTCAAGCAGCGTTGTTTCACATTTTGGCTCCCACCTACCCGCGACCGTCATTGTCATGCTCGTTGAGCACATTGCCATTTCCAAATCTTTTGGCAGAGTCAACAACTATTCCATCGATCCTTCACAGGAAATGGTTGCCATTGGCATGACCAACATTCTAGGGCCCTTTCTCGGCGCATATCCATCTACGGGCTCTTTTAGCCGAACGGCAATTCAATCAAAGGCCGGCGTTCGCACCCCGGCTGCCGGTATTGTCACTGGGATTGTCGTTCTCTTGGCCACATACCTTCTGACAGCAGTCTTCTTCTACATTCCGAGTGCCACACTTGCAGCCGTCATCATCCACGCCGTCGGTGACCTCATCACGCCTCCGGATACAGTCTATCAGTTCTGGCGCGTTTCCCCCATCGAAGTATTTGTCTTCTTTGTTGGTGTTTTCGTCAGTGTCTTTGCTCAAATCGAGGACGGCCTGTATGCCACCGTCGCCATTTCTGCCGCCATTCTCATATACCGCATCTTAAAGGCCCGAGGACGGTTCCTCGGCAAAGTACGAGTCCACTCTGTCCTTGGTGATCACATTATTGGCGAGAATCATAAAAAGGTATACGGAGAATACGGTACATTCGACGGAGCGGCTGAGGTCTCTGCACGCAATATATTCCTTCCCCTGGATCATGGAGACGGCTCCAATCCTGAGGTAGAACTAGAGAGTCCTTACCCTGGAATCTTCATTTACCGCTTCTCCGAGGGGTTCAACTATCCCAATGCTAATTTCTCACTGGACTATCTCACCGACGTTATTTTCTCACAAACGAAGCGGTCCAGTCCCGAGAGTTTTGAGCGCGCGGGCGACAGGCCTTGGAGCAACCCGGGGCCTGGAAAATCCGCCAAATCTCGTCAAGATCCAGGAGCCGACAGACGGCCTACACTCAAGGCCATCATTTTGGACTTTAGTTCTGTCAACAACGTTGACATCACCTCTGTCCAGCGACTCATTGACGTTCGTAATCAGCTGGATATGTACGCTTCCCCCGGTGTGGTAGACTGGCACGTTGCATGCATCAATAATCGCTGGACCAAGCGTGCCCTCATGGCCGGAGGTTTCGGTATCCCCACAAAGGCTCATGATGGCCTGCATCACAGATGGAGATCCATCTTCAGCGTGGCTGAGATCGGCGGAAAGGACTCTGCTGCAGCTTTGGCAGAGGACGCTGCCAACGAAAGGGAGTTGCAGGCAAGCCAGTCGCGAATGAGTCAACTAGACGAGGAGATGGGCCAGAGCTCTGATTCGGAAGAAGGCTTGCCTAAACCGGGCGATGAGAAGGCAGAAGGTGCAGCAAAACAGAAAAGACGTGGGGCGGTTGTTCACGGGCTGAATAGACCTTTGTTCCATGTGGACTTGACCAGCGCGGTCCAGAGTGCGATTGCGAATGTGGAGGCTAGAGAAGAGTTTAGGGCTGCTTCTTTGCCGTCATCTTGATCTATATTGGCATATTTTGTTCTTTAGCAAAACATATTGGAGTTTTGGGCATGATAGATTTAGCGATGGCATCAGCGAGAATTTTGTTACACTAAATACACGTATTTAGGCCATAATATTGTAGAATATGGTTTATGATCTGTCCTGCATCTCCATGGCATATGTGAGTATCTTTTTGTAGGCATGTCTATTTGCGGAGGTGACGTTCGGTGCCCCTCATGGGTAGTCAGTGACCGTGAAGGACATAATTGAAGTTTGCCATTTTGTTAGATTTGTTTCCGATTCAATAACTATATAAATTAACGTCCTCTTGAGCCATTAAAAATATTTGTTCAAACTTTGGATAATGTGGGAACTACAGCTGTGATGATGGAACCGTTAAACAAGTGCAAGCAGTCACCTGATTTCGCGTCCGTTTCGCCACGCAATTCACGCCCCGCCAAGTTGTTCTCGTCGAACTCTCCGACGTTGTGGACTAATTCGAAACCTCTCGTCAGCATCTGGGTGAACTGCGTGTAAAAAGGATCCTAAACCTCATCTCTGGTTTCAGTCTCTTCATTGTGCTGAGACCGGGACACTGGTCATCACAGCCTTCTCGTCAGTTACAATGCTCATTGGCATCCAGCGACTCAATGCCAAGAAGTCGCAACCGAACCCCAACATCGTCTTTATCAAGCCACTGCCCGGTCTGAATGAGAAGACGGCCCAGGGATTCCTTGAGAGAATTGCCGCACAATGCCGTGAGCCTCACGCCACAAGTCTCTGTTCTTACGACTACTAACACCATCAAGTCCCTGTCATGCGGAAACACCACATATCAGTCATGACCCTCGAAGAATACGAACCAAATCGCGAGTTTGTAGGCCGCAACTTCAATGCCGGTGAAGTGATCCAACTTGTTCTCCGGTCCCCCTCAACGGGCCGCTGGCTCCCATTTGAATACGTCCAAATGGTCATGATGCACGAACTAGCGCATTGCAAGCAAATGAACCACTCCCGCGCTTTCTGGGCAGTAAGAAACCAGTACGCCGCGCAGATGTACGAGCTCTGGAAGGAAGGATACACAGGAGATGGAATCTGGGGCCGTGGTGCGAGTTTGATGACCGGGGAGTGGGAGCGGAATCAAGTACAGGCAGACGAGGCTCTCCCGGAGCATTTATGCGGGGGGACATATCGTTCCAGACGGAGGAAGAGGAGGACCAAACCTGCCTTGTCGTACAAGGAGCGCAAAGAGCGGAGGATCTTGAAGAGGTTTGGGAAGAATGGGACGGCGCTGGGGGCGGATGAGGAGGCAAAGACGAAGCTGGAGAAAGGGAAGAGGGTGCAGGCGAAACCGAGAGTGGCGAGCAGTGCTCGGGGACGGGAGCTACGAGCTGCCGCCGCGCTGGCGAGGTTTGAACAGAACAAGGTGGAGGAGGAAAAGACGGCCAAGGAAGAGACGGGGTCTGAGAGTGAGGGCGAGTACGACGACGATGCTAGTGATGGTGACGGCGAGGCCGCTGTTGATGTAGACGGTTCAACGTTGAGGGATGGCACGGGCAGAGGGATGGTCAGGGTATGTCAGGACGAGGACTGCAGTGATCCTGATGCCCGAAATGAACTAGGCCAGCTGGCAGAGGTGTTCAAGCGGGCAAGGAGGGATCGTGCTGGAGGCACAAGCTCGCAGACAGTACGGGTGAAGGCGGAACCGGAAATGGAGGCTTCCTCATCCTCGTGGTCGACGGGCGCAAAGACAGAACCCGTTCATGACGCTCCACGGCTTCACGACATACCGGTTGCACCCGCTGCCGCACAAATCTCCAAAGGGCCTCCCAAACAGAAAACCAGCGGCTCTTGGCAGCAAGCACCGGTACAAAGCACTTCAACATGCTCAATATGCTCCTTCACCAATATCTCATGGGCAGTAACATGCAGTATGTGTGCTCATGTTCTCGACCCAACCCACACGCCGAATTCCTGGCGCTGCACCAGCACAACGTGTGCAAGCGGCAAATATGTCAACTCTGGCGACTGCGGCGTCTGTGGTCTCTGTGGACGGAGACGAATGTAACCTGTCGTACGACCAAAGTAATGGGTAATGAGTGATAAATCTTAATATACATAACTATATATGGCCATGTCCACCAAGGCATCCACGCAAGTCATGGTTATATCCCAGTTTCTTTTTTCCTTTTTTCGTCAACTCTAATGGCATTTTCAATGAACCCTGGCTTCTTGGGGGCCATGAGGTCCGCCGATGCATGCAAGTCGTACGATTGATCTCACATGCATATTTCAGCAACCATCGTTTCATGCACATATGGAACCACGGAGTAGCCGCATTAGACACGGCGATACCCCTTCAGAGACAGAGAGGGATCTTGAGTCGTGTCATTTGAGTAGCGGGCACCCCTGGGTCGCAGACCGGTTTGACTATCCGTGTTGGGCACGAGGGAGATGAGACTTGTTTGTACGGTGCCAGTTGGACATTAGATGACGAGTGGTGGTTGACGGAATAGAATGTATTTCCTTCTTTGTCATTCCCCTGCTTCTCATTTTCATTCTTTTCCTTTTCCGACGGTTTAATTGTCTAGATTCATTTGGCATTGCCTTGTACGTGCGCGGATACCACCGTACACTTTGGAAACACGCATACACCAAATCGCCAGTACTTTACAATCATCACATCAACGCCGTGAAGTTCTTACAATCTACCTTGTCAGCCTAGCCGTATTAGCGGCCGCCGAGAAACCTCCCGCCGGACAAGTCCTCAAACTGCCATTAATGCCCCGAATCCCCAGCCAAGCGAAGCGAAGCAGATGAAGGTGCTTCGAACTCGCTCGGCCCTCCCGGCGCCAGATATCGGCGCCGTGGTATCTACAACTTGCGTAGACGCAAGCCAGTTCGTCGCAAACCAGGTCCATCACAATTGCGAGCGATGACGTGCTGACAACTTGTTCTAATCAGGGAGATGGGCGCGCACGAGGAGAATGAGGCCCAGTCAAGCATCTGTGGCGGCGTACCCGGACCAATACACGCGTGTCGAGGCGCTCTAGCGACAACAGAAGGACAGACCCGGACGGCGTTGTTCAGCATGTCTGCCGTCGGTACAGATGGCACCATTGTCATTTCTAAGCGGCAGTGGCTTCGGTGTGTCCATGCCGCGAGGTCGGCGTGTCCTCGTGGAAGCCTATCAGCGGTATGTGCTGGAGTGGCATCGAGTGGGGGGAATGTGGCATTTACGTTGAGCAAGCCGTAAGCATCAAGGCAGTTGATAGGAAAATGATTGGAGAAATGCTCTCATAGTCTATAATTAGCCTTGAAACAATGCGTGACGTGTCACATTGGGATGAGTTCCAGCAGAGGGGAATACTAGCTTCCTTGCTTTGAGAGTGTTTGCTTCCAAATGTTGATTCTGAAGAATCCAAAGCCAAGGTACGTCGGACATGCTGCAAGCCGCCATTCGTTCCGCTGCCTTTGGTTTTGCATCTTTACAACAGATACTGGACCCGATAGCTGGTCCCAGGGCGTCCGTGTATTTAAAGAGACATCCGGGTCCGCATCCCGGGTGTGTGTGGACACATGAGGGGGAGTCTGGGGTCAGCAAAGAAGATGACTGACTAGTTCATGTGGATTTTGGGCCCTTGTTTTCTCGTGGACGGTGATGTATCAGTTCTTCTACTTGGTACCGTGCGAACGGCGTCCGCAGGGGGTTCGTACTGATCAGATCGAGAAGCACAGGGTTGCAAGAGGGTCCACGGGCAGGTAGTAAGAGCCTTTGGACAGTTGCCCTCTTCGCAAGCCAGACTTGTTTGTCAAGGTTCTGGATCAGCACGGGGAGCGACCAGGTGAGTAGCCGGAGCATGCGTGTGGCTACGGGGCCATGAGGACCGGGGAGGATATAAAGACCTCAAATAACCAACGTATTTGAAGATACCGCGCAGTGTTTCAGTCGGGCAGATTGTTTTGATGTACAAATACTTGCATATGATTGTAGGTAGGCAAGGATGTCGTGCTGTCTGCGTCAAATATTGGCACAATGGGGGTTAGGGTTATTCGGCATTCAACAGCTCGTGTGCACCGCGCAACACATCGTGATCCATACCTGAGGCACAAATAAACCACACGATGTGGCAAATCTGCCATGTGCTCTCATGTACAGCAATGGGCAGATGCAGATCTGGTCTGGCAGTGGTTGGCAGGAGCTGGCACCAAAAAAAGGGGAGACCCTTGCTGCCTTCCCAGGGTTTGTTGCGGGGTACCGAAGGGCGTACGGAGCACGCAAGTGCATCCCGTTGAGTGTGCGCAGGTGCCATTTTGGTAACGACCAAGGATGTTAGCAATTAAAGATATTAAATTTAGAGATACTTAATCCACTGAAGAATTTATATAATAAAAAAAAGTACCTTATATACGGAAAGTTACAATTATATAAGTGGCTATCCTGACTGTGAAATTATACTTGGCAAGTATCCAAGAAAAGTGGAGGGCACCTTAGCACAGCCAAAGGGATACATGACAGGCACCTGCGCACACTCAAAGGGATACGTTACGGAGTACTCCGTACCCTGAGCCGTGCTTGCAGGGATATTACCCCGCAAAGTGCTTCCATTGGGTGACGTCGCTCCTTGTCCCAAGCCGCCTCAAAGTGTGCAGGTACGGAGAACTAGTACTGACCGAGTTGGGCTTGCAGTCTCTGGCGATGGATTGATTGTCCCTCCTGCATTGTGCGGAGTAGTTTTAACAAAGTTAGGTACTCCATGCCTGTACATAGTCTTTGGGCTTAACCCTAACAATCAGGAACATTTGCAGGAGCATTTGGAAAACCAACACCTGCAAGTACACAATCATCAGCTACAAGCGTCATTAATTCCCCTCACTCCCAGCAGCAGCGCTCAAGCATGGACTCTACCGGGTACCGAGACTGGTCCCAGACTCGGGGGGTGAAGATGGGTGGGTGGCCAAGTGGCCTGCCCAGTACATGTCGTACGGTCGCTGTGCCAGATTTCGAGTGGCCATGACGAGCCACGGCGTTGATAGTCCTGGGTGCTGCTCCGTAGCTAGTGGGAAGGCATGATTCGAACTCTCGAGCTGTGCAAACCAAGGTGGGAGAACGCCACCCACCATCGACTGGCAAGTAGGGTTGCTGCCGTGGAACAACATGGTTTCCAGATGCACCTCCACTTGACCTGCACACACCAGAGCCATGACTGATGCCATCCGGTAAATAGAACTGTCCCGCCGAAATCTGTTTGGTCGAATGAGTATCCTCCTCGTGCCAGCCCTTATCAGCCCCTCTAGCCATCGCTCGACGGACCACTTGACTGGTTCCCCAAGGTGAAAAGGGTGAAAGGACAAGTCCACGAATGAATGACGATGCAACGGCTAGCCGTAGACTCTCGAAAGGTCTTTGCAAAGACTGCCAGGCAACTGGCTCAATCCGACGTCTTTGAGGCCCGGCCAACCACAGCTCCGTCTAGGGGGCTGGCGGAATTGTCGCCGTTCCTTGCTCGTGCCAGACTCTCACGAAACACCAATCGGCAGTTGTCCAATCTTGCCAAGCTACGGAGTACTCCGCATACCAACGCAGTAACTGGCAGCGCTGGCAAGCCTACGAGTCCCTTCATCCCCACAATCCTTCAGGACAGAGATGGTAGCGGGCCCAGGAGATCTGAGTCGCATTGGATAGGGCTCTTCCCCCGGTTCCACCGATCGCGGCCAGCGGGCCTGTCAACGTCACCGGCTGCTTTTGAAGGCGTCAACTTGGTGTTGAGATCTGTTAGGTGCATACGAGGACGAAGCTTGTTATTGTCCTATTCTCGACCTTTGAGACGAGCTCTCCACCGCCCAATCCCGTGCTTGCGTTTGTCTTCTTGGGCAGAGTCCCTCGGGAGCTTGCGTCGATCGCCTACTCCAAAAGGATGCATCGTGTCGCACCCCTCTCTTCACCGTGTTTGACAGCCGACGGTGGTTTGAGGTATCATCTGGATCGGTGCCACCCTTTTAGTGTGTTGCTGGCTACATAAAAGAGCACACACACTGTGTGTGAATGGTGACCCCCAACCAAGGTGGACGAGGATGCCATTGCATGACGGGGGAGCTACCAAGGGTAAATCTGCCAGCTGTTGAAACCAGTTTGCCTCAGGACAGTGGTATTGTCCTGTTCTTTTCGGCATAATGTGCCATGATATGGCCCCCTCAAGGCTCTCGTCTGACCTGATCTCGCCTGTGCCCTGGGCTGAAGTGAGCCCATTATCCATGATCCATCAGCCGTCCCCCACACGCTCCGCTACGTCCGTCACTTATTCTAGGCCCTCCGCTCTCGGTCTTCACGGAGGTGATGGGTGCCGTCACTCATTCATCAGTCCATCAGTCCATCGGTCCATCAACCCATCACTCGCACGCCCTCCCCATTCGCAACCCCTCCGACTTCTGCGCGTCCCTCTCTCGTCGGGTTTATGTCCGTTGACTCGCGGAACTGCACCCACGTGTACGGAGTACGTTTTTCTGACCAAGTCCCCTCTCACTCTCTGCTGGCGTCAACTATCGTCCCTTCTCGGCACCGCACAGTCCGTTGGCAACTTCTCTCTGCATCCACCCCCCTGCCTCAGACATAATACCACAAAAGCTTGCACGCTTCACGCTTCACGCCACCCCGCGCTTTGCACCTTGACTCTCTCTGCCGTTCCTTCCACTACTTCTACCTCGCTCTTTCCTATCGTCGTTTTCACTTTCCCAACCTAAAAAAGTTGCGCACCCTTCTGGTCTGGCTGCTTGTTTATCTAATCGTCGTTCCTTCCAGATCATACATCATACACACAGCCTATTGACACCTTTCCCAACTGCTTCTTGCGCAACAGATAACTCGTTTCCCTCTGTCCCCTTACGATTCTGTCCATCCGTCAGCACGCCTCTAGTCTCGACCATCTCGACCATCGCCACGCCAGCTCCCATCCATTCCAGACATTACGTTCGCCGCTCAGGGCACATTAATAGTATCTCTGCCTCGTGTGTGGCCCTGTTTCCCTTTACTTCTTTTCTTCTTCCCCTCTCTTTCCCGGGGTAAAGCTGGTTGAATAAGTCCGGATCATAGAAAGAGCTTCTACCTACCTACACAAGGCTGTCGTTGAGCCCAATATGTCTTCTGACGGCCCCCCCAACGGCGCGGGTAACCGCCGTAGCTCAATCACACAAGCCGCCCTCTCAAACCTCTTTCAACGCGGTCCACCCAACAATTCGAGTGGCGGCAGTGGCCAGATGAATAGCTTCGACCCTCAACGGCGACGGTTGTCAGTTACTACAATCGGCCTCTCTGGCACGTCACCCACCAACCCGCCGACCTTTAACATGCGCCGCGGCAGCATGTCCACCAGCTCCGACTCTATTGACGAAAATGCCATCGAGGATGAGGACGTGCCCGGCTCCGCTAGAACCGCCCCGAACACACCTTTTGTCCGCCGTATGAGCTTCGGCGCTTCAGCCATGAGAGGGTACCGCCCTGGTGGCAACAGTCCTGGCAACGGTAATAACCCAGCCTCACCCCCGTCGTCTCTCGGACGAAGAGCCTCACAGAACCAAGGCTCTGTAATCGGCGCTGCTCTATCTGCAGCGAACCACCGAGCCAGTACTGCGAAGCCTTCTTCCGCAGTTGCACAGGCAAGCAACACCATGCCTTCAAGAGCCTCTTCTGACAATGCCAATTCTCGTGCAGACCAGCAGGGCTTCAACTGGTCCGAGCAGCTTAGGTCTCGAGCTGAGAGCTCCGTCTCCGCCGGCCCACGAGCTTCGTTTTCGCTAGCCTCCTCCCCTCCAAGAGGAGCGTCCCACCATGATCGGGCCAAATCCGTCTCCGACATGATGCAACCGCCCGTTCAGACACCGCCGCCTGCCCAGCAGCCCAAGCAAGAACCACGCAAGCCAGACGCCTTTCAGGAGAGAATCCTCAAGGGCGACTTTTACATGGATTGAGTAGCTCACTACTTCCTCATACGGCAGCGCTCTTATGTGCTTTGATTAGTTGAGGACCATGCCCAAAAGTCTTGCCGGCGATGAACACAGCTGTGATGGCTGTTCCAAGGTTAACACCGAGAAGGGCCAATTTTTCGATGGTTTGATATCCAATCAGATACTTGCCAATTCTCATTCTAAATGAATGGGTTTGGCTTCCTCTGTCTTTGTGAGCAACCCGTGTGTTAGTACCGCGTATCGATGAGAATTTTATCATTTTCTTTTTTCAGGCATCACGGAAGGCATAGGAAGTTTTCATCATCGTTTCTGCGAGTGGTTCTATTAAAACGCTACCGCTGATATGTAGCGTCGGATCAGAAATGGGTCCAAAAACATTCAGAGCATGGCAAATGATTTGTTCATCGGCTGCGCGGCAAAACAAAAATAAGCTGCAAAATAGTGCTTGTTAATTTTCTATTTATTTGTATTTGAGAGCGACTATAACGACAGAGCGAAAGGGGGGCCTTGAGTTCCCGTCAGGACAAAACGGCGCGCATGGCTTCACGTTCATGTACTATCTTGCTTGTGTGTGATGTAGGACCATACAGAGTCGCGACATGGAGACATTGGTAACACATGGATGGAGCTGAATATCAGGATGTGATATCGGATTCACTTTTGTGGTGGGAAAGTCACGATTTTGCTAGGCAAATGGCGTTGACGAGTGAGTGTTCTTCTTTGCGTAAGCGCAGCGCCTTATCAGTGAAATGAAGTTGGCGACAGGCATGTGTTTGGCTCGCTTGCATGTACTTCGTTTTATATTTATTTGTATTTGCAGCTCCAAGGACAGCTAGGAATAGCAGTCTCGAGCTCAGCGTTTACCTGCTTAAGTAGTCAGATTGAACGAATGTCCTGCAGCCTTGCGCCAAGCACAACACATGTGACATGTCGTGCATGAGAGACAAGATTGAAACGTGCGGTTCGTGGCATCATTAATGATTAACAGTAGTAAGTAATGTACAAAACAAAGCACCACGCTAACCCGTACACATGCAACGGTATCCCTACGCCAGACCATGATGGATGACAAGAGAAAGGATATGAGAGAAAAAAACCTGCCCACCCAACAAATTCATGCAGCTGCGAGAACCAAAGATGAGTGCGTAAATGGTCGTCACAATGAAAAGAAATTGGGATCCGGCAACCCCTGGAACATGTCACTAAATAGGGGATCATTGAGAGCTGCCATCTTTGCCCCCCCGCCATACGTCTCGCCCGACTGATCTAGCGGTACGCCTAGACTTTCAAAGTCAAAGTTGGCCGGCAGGCCTACCGCCATGTCCATGTCGACAGACTGCTGAGGAGGCTGGGCCATCCACGGCTGCGGGAAGGCAGACGGATCGCGCACCTGCGGGGGTGTGTTGGTGCCCTCTGCGTAATATGCGTTTTGGGGAGGCGCCTGGCCGCCGGAAATGGAGTTGAAAAACGGCCGCGGGGTGTTGGACTCGCGGCCCATGGCGACCTCGGAGAGGACCTGGAGGGGCGC